TCTTAGTCCAATGACTATATTTGATGGATGATTTTTGTGCTCACTCTATTGTATTAGCTAAACTATACTTGTTACCATTTCAATTAGCTGAAAGTAATTATAAACCGTGACAAGTATTTATTCGATTCAAGAGAGATGAGGACCATGGGTTTCATGCATAGTCAGTAACAGCTTTTAAATGTAATGATAAAATGTTAATTTTGTATAACATCAATAACAATGTTTCTTGGGAAAAATATAAGCCAGGTAACTTTTAATGCTCATTAAAATCCTCTGAGTCAATCAATACAATTTTAGCAGTATGGTGAAAAGTCATTAAAATTTATATTGGACTAGGATTGCCTGTCATTTTCAGATTCTTTACAAGCTCTGCTTATTTCCTTACATAGTGCTTTGGATTTCAACTGCTTTGCTTGTACCTTATACTTCTGTATGATATCCTTTGCGAAAGAAAAGGAGCGGACTCTTACATACAGTTGAATGATGTTATGTAGTACATCTTTGGCAAGAGTGCTTTCTCCTGTAAGTTCAGCATCAGACAAAATTAAATGATATGCAGAGACTACATCTATGTCATGGGTAGATCTTGATATAATGTCAGTACAATCAAGCTTTCTTATGTCAGCCTTTGAAGTTATATCCCTAAAATAGTGCTCAGCTCTTTCAAAAATTGTTTGGGTATTCTTTGTTATTGTCCATGAGCCTCCACGATTTAAAGATGAAGTTAGCCTCTGGCTATCTGAAACAGCCTAGTCATCTGACTTTCCAGCCTTAAGAATTGAGATTGCTTGCTCAATTTCGGTGATTTTTTAACTATTTGCCAGTTTGTCATGAGGTTTATGTAGAACATATCCTCCCATGTACTGTAGTCCAGCTTCTTCTTCAGCTGAGAGTTTAGTTAATGGTGCACAAGTACAAATACTAGAGTCTTTGGCTTTCTCCTTGCTGCCAGCCAATATAAAATCTGCCACTTTGGTAGATAGCAATGTCGCTGCATCCCTAGACAACCCCTCAAAATAAATTACTGCATTTGAGACTACTGCAGAGTAGAAGGAAGTATAGAATCGTTCCGCGTTGCCAGACTTGACCAAGCGACCATACATGTTTTTTTCATGTCTTTTCCAAATATCTAAACAATAATTCACTTAACTGCTTTCGCTCAAAATACGTTTTTCTTTCAAGTTAAAACGGGACAACTTCCCGTTTTTCTCCTTAGCGCACTCAGCTATTGCTCAGCTCAGTGGCTAGTGGAAAATAGCTTAGAATTCGTAACCACACCCTATTCACTCCCCCTAGTCCCCTAACCCACCTTTGTGCTAACTTTCAATTTAAAGTGAGTGGAAACAAAACGTATTTGGGGTAAACGACGGCATTCCATTTTTGTATTAAAGGGGGGGGGGGGGGGGGGGTGGGACTGGAAGATTTTGAAAACTGAAATGCGCGAGCGCAAGCCGGAAAACGAATTTCCTCCTGAGCGCAAACTTATAGAAATTCCCTGCAGCATCTTAATGACATGGATTTTATGAAGAAAGTCCACATGACGGTGCTCCCACGAATGACGTATGCTTAGGTTAGGGTTTGGCCTGGTATTTGGTTCGTGATAGTGAAGAACGTATCCCTATGATTACCCTCCTCTCATCCCCCTACCCCACCCCTGTGCTAACTTGGGGCTTTACTTATTCGCTTTGCATCGAAATTTTTGACAGTACTCCTCAATTTTGTCTGCATAGGGTTGTTTACGTTTGATAGCTACTTCAACAGCAATATCAAGTCCGGCGCAAATGTCTTTTAGTTTTGCAACCGATAACTTGATCGTGGTGAGTTCCCTCCTGAGGTTATTTCGCATAGATTATATTTACCACACGATGGGGCGTCCTTGCAAAAGTTCCCGAGAAACCTCATTAGTCAATTCTTTGATAGTTGCCTCCTGGGTAGCACATTCAATTTCCTCTTCAAGGTCGTCATCGTTAAACAGAGACTTCCTTACCGCAAGTCTGGAGAAGAATCCAGTGACCTGAGATGTAGTCAGAAACTCTTCACTACTGAATATCCGTTTCCCTTGCAAGTCCTCAGCAGACATCATAGAACGCGCAACTGATACCGGATCACCTTCTCGTCCTGACCGCTCACCTTGTTGAAATTTCTCAGTCAGGTAATTCTTTTGCTTGTGCGTAAATCTTCATCTACGGGAAGCACTTGACTTGAGCGCCCAACCCTTTGGTGGCATGTCGTGAGAAGATGGCTGTACTGCAACTGCGTCCAGCTCGGGAACAGCTGCGCGTTGCCCCTCAAGCCTTTGAGTATATCCAACAGCAGCTCTATCCAGTAGAGTATATCGCTCAAGAGCACGTTAGTGTTTTCCACAGTCTACAAGCCGCTGCATTGATGAATATCTCACAAATGTTTTGACAAAACCCTCCTCAGGACATCTGAAGATGGCCGCGTTGCTATCTTCCTCTTCGATATGCACTGGTGGATCTGGATCTCGAACTGATGCTTTTATGCGCCTCTCCTTGGCAGATGTAAATGCACTTGAGTAAGAGCGAGTAACTCCGGTAAGGGTCGGTAGTTCAGAAGGGGATGGGCAATGCAGTTTGTCTGTTGGGATGAGTTTACCATCGCCGATACCATACGTTCTCCAAACTAGTAGCCCCTCTTCCTTGTTCTCGACATTACTGAGCTGACTATTACCCTCTATATTTGAAGATAGCACCCTTGGGACTTGGACAGTCTCACACAATGCTACGTTAACACCAGGAACTCTACCAGAAGAGAGTATCGCGTCTCTCATCTGCTCAGACTTCTCGATATCATTTCCAGCGTTAAGATAAATCCTCATGTGTGACTTTATAGTCGCAACCTTCCGATCACATGCCGACTTGCCTCCTTGTGGATCAGAAAAATCTAGACGCCTGATCTTGACACCGTCTTCATGGCCAAGGGCTGCTGCACAGATGAGAGTGGTTCCGCAGTGGTAGCAGCCGGCATTATCCTGCCGTTAACAGACGGTCTTGAACGCACAAGACAAAGATTTCGGGCGAGTGACATAGAGAGGTTTCGGGGTATCTGCCCAGCGCGGGTCACACCCACCTTAAAGTCGCTTTTAATATACCGTTTGCTTGCCCGTAGATTATTTTTCTGCTGTTTCGCCCATCCCATGCCTTGTCCTACATCTCCAAAGGTTTCGACAACATCACACAGATCGTCGAATTCTTCCGCACCTGCAGCACTAACATAATCGAGGCCTTGAACCGATGTCCGTACAGACGTTACATTGTAAGGTTCTTTGTAGGACACCAGAGGAATAGACTGCCTTGAAGAGAGAACCACTATCACTTGGAGCTATGTCTTGTAGACGTGTAGGTCACAACAGGACCTTGACCTGCCTTCCGCAAGTAATAGTGTCGTATTCTTTCACTCGCTTCTTCCCAAGGCCGTTGTAGCCGAGAACGAATGGGACTGATTTCTCGAGTGCGCAAATAATCATTGAGTGGGTCAGTGGTCTTGGACTTTGGTTCGCGCTTTGTTGTAGCTCATGCGCTGTCAAAGGAGATCTCCTCAGAGGAGGAGGAGTCGTCGCTAGGTGGCAAATAGAAGCTTCCTCCTGGGTTGGCTGGGGTACTGTGTTCAGGACGAGTAAGAGTCGTCTCCTCGGCCTAGAACAGCAACGACAACTGTTATATTGCGCATGGTTCATGAGGCTTTTCCATGTTAACATATAGAAAACAAGGCGTGGCATAAATGATTGAAAATCTTTAGAAACAACCATAACAATAGCGTCGCTAAGTAATAATAATAATAATAGTTTAAAATTTATATTGCGCAAATTAACATGTGGATATGATCAAATGCGCATCACAACAATTTGCGGAGGACTTTGGCCGGACTGCATCAGCAGTTTACAAACAATCGAAGGAAACTTAGTTAAAGATTCCCCCCC